TAAACTTAAATTCTCAACCATCAGGAGAGGAGTCACCAATGCCCTTGTCTGAGATGCCAGTTAGCTGTGGTTCCTCACTGAAGCGGGCATGCAGGGATGTCTCTTGTTGCTCCATACCGGGGCTGTCATGTCAGACAACAGGTTAGTGTGCATGATAAAGGTGACAAGTGCTCAGTCTCTGTTCTGTCCATGTGATGCGTTTTCATGAGTTTGTTTTGAAGGCTTTAACTTAATTTCTCCATCTCCTAACAGGGTGGAAGTTATATTCTGCCGCTCATTATAATGGGAGCTCCAGTGCAAGTGTCTTGCCCTGTGAGTCCTCTCCTCCCTACCGTGTCCTGCTTCTCCTCTGGCATGATTGTCACACTTGGCATCAGAGCCAATTGTTAAAGGCAAGTATCTTAATTCACTTTCAATGTAAGTTGAAAGAACCATGAGTTTGACACTTTCTCTGCTTTTAGTTGATAGAACATGGCAACCTCTGCTCTTAACATGCTCTCAATGCTCGTTTACTTTGGGGACTACTGCTGGTTCACTGGTTGTCACTGCACCCTTCACAGGAAGCTGTTGGGAAGTGACGGTAAGAATAACTGAGTGCACTTGATGTGACTTGTCATTCACATAATGTGGAATTTCTGTAGTTATACATTTGCATCATTTACTGGTTTATTTTGGTCTTCCTCAGGATACTGCATGGCGACTCCCTTTGATGTACGGTGACCAGGAAGTGACCCTTTCCTGTCCTCTGACACAGCCAACCGTAGCTCCAACCACACCTGCTGTCCGTGACCCAACTGTCATGCAACAGATGATTGACCCTTTCCCTTTTGGAAGACCCTGGTGGTATCCTCCATATCCTGATGTATCTGCTACTGTGCCACCTACAATGACTACAACTACTCCTTTTCAATATCCTTTCCAGCAACACATGTTCCTTCACAAGTATCCCATGCCAATATTTGATCCCTTTTACTCCAAAGGTGACCCAGCTGCTCCCCCAGCACCACAACATCCCTGGTACCCAAAGCTCCCTCCTTATATGAATGGCTTCCAAAGCCCAGTTGAAGTGACCACTCCTGCAATGACCACAACTACCCCTGCCCCATACCAGCCTGCGCACAAGTATCCAGGTTTTCCAATGTACCCAACATTCTATGGTCATCACCCCATGAAGTCTTTTGTGTCTCCAACTGTGAAATACCCTTTCATGCCCCAGTATCCTAAGGATCCAATCTTTGGTCCCCGCAGCCCTAAATCACCATCTCCTGCACGGTTATCCTCATTCTACAGGTCTCATAGATAACTCGCTCGATTGAGCAGATGAGTGCACTCTGAAGTGGTATTGCTTTTGACACAGAACAAATTAACCAACATAGTTGTTGGGTGTAAGCCTAATAAAGCTTTGTGACTTTAACGTTTTTGTGGCTTTTTCTTTTGTTATGAGCAAATGGCATGCAAAAAATACTGAAGTATCCCATTCCCTGCTGTAAAAGTTTATCCAACTTTAATGAGTTCTACTGCGGCGTAACCTGCAAATGTGGAAAGGTCATTTTGCCAGTGAATATAGTCCCAAACACCGCCATAACCGAACAGGTGTGTGCCCCTAAGCAATGCACAGTAGTGTTTTGTAGAAGTAGTTTGCTTCTCCCTACTTGTGCATCCTCTCTTCTTTTCCTTGCTCCTCTTCCTGGTGTCTTGGCTCTACACACGACGGAATAATGCAGGGAAAGAAAACCAGGACAGCGGAATCAAAAGAAAGCCTAGTTGTATATTGGAATATTCTTGGTCACTCAATCATTAATTGTGCTTCAAGGATCTGCCTTCATTTTGTTGAGGTTTGGTTATTTAAGAAATACTTGATGGATGTCTGGTGTAATGATTTCAAGATTAGGTAGCCTCACATGGGGCACCAAAATGTAGTGATATCAAGGCTAGATGTGTAGCTTCATGCACAGAGCAACAACAGCTTAGCACTTTGTCTTGTGAACCTTTTAATCTTTCCTGAGGGATTTGCAAGTTGGCGCTTTTCAGATCCAGCATTTTGATTAGCTTATGCTGTCGGAGGTGGCCATGGCATGGTCCCTCTGGTATAAGGTGTATTTGCATAGCTTAATGTCCAAGTTTAGAACTATGTTTGAGGTTTTTCCTATGCATAATTCACTTTTCAAAGCAATTCCAGATTAACCTACTCATTGTTCTGAAAATATGAAGACCAAACATCAATGGATGTAAACGAACATTGACCCATGCATTCATATATACGGTGTATATACCTTAATAGTTAAGGTTGCATACAATGTTGTATCACACACAGCACTCATTAAGTCTATACAGTTCTGTAAATGGATTTGAAGGTTTAAACAATTTTGTGTCCATTTTGTGAAACCACAAGGCAAAACTGGTTTGGTCAGTCCGAGTGGTCGTTCAAACTTAAGTCTCAAAAATGAGGGACTGTGATCAGCGAAAGAGCACATGGTGATTGGATCAGTCTTTGATCAATGGAATGCTGAAGTCCTTATCCTGCCCTCCACAACAAAGCACTTCCTGAATGGGGTTTACTGTATGTTAATGTTACCGCCCTCACCACAAGAGGTGGTGTTGTTTTATCTGAAGACAAAGGGCATCCTTTGTTGTCCACAAAGCCTGATCAAATCAAAATGAAGCTTTCCACACATTTTGTGGTAAGGGGGTTGTCATCTGCTGTCCACTTCAGTTGTAATACTTAATGTGTTTTATTTAAAACTTCCTCACTCTTCATTACTCGCCTCCTTGCAGTGCAATTAGAGAACTGAGAAGTCCTTCAAGATGGCTTTGATCAGTTACTGGTTCACAGGCTGGATGATGGAGCGAACAAATGAGGAAGCAACAGTTTCAGAATCAGAATTAGATTTGTTTGCCAAGTGTGTGCAAACAAGGAATTTGTTGTGTTTTTTTAGGAGCTCTTGGTAAATACATACATACATGACATGAGAACAGAAAGAACAATTAAATAAGTAAGGCTAAAGAAAAAAACTAAAAATGAATAATTATAATAATGATGTGGTAAAATCTGGAACAGAAGATTTATGTACAGATTTGTGCATTATTTATTTTACAGTTGTATAACAGCATGTATTTACATAATACTTGAAAGACAGGCAATTGCTGGAAATGGAAAAATGAATTACAGAAAACAGATAATCATTTCTGTGTTAGCTGTTTAAGATGGAGATGGCATGGGGGAAAAAACGTTTTTTATGCCTAGATGTTCTAGTGCACAGAGACCTGTAGCGTCTGCCTGAGGGGAGAAGTGCAAACAGGTTGTGACCGGGATGGGAGGGGTCTGTGATGATGTTGCCTGCCCGTTTCTTCACTCTGGAGTTGTACAAGTCCTGAAGGTTGGGCAGGTGCACACCAATTATCCTTTCAGCTGTCCTGTCAGTCCGTTGCAGTCTTCTTATATCTGATTTGCTGGCTGACCCAAACCAGAAAGTTATAGAACAGCGCAGAACCGACTCAACAGCTGAGTAAAACTGTGTCATCTGTGCCTTTGGCAGGTTGAACTTTTTCAGCTGGCGAAGGATGTACAACCTCTGCTGGGCCTTTTTTTTTTTTTTACAATAGAGTCAATGTGAATGTCCCACTTCAGATCCTGTGAAATGGTGGTGCCCAGGAACCTGAATGACTCTACTGCAGCCACAGTGCTGTTCATGATGGTGAGTGGGGGGAGTGCAGGGGGGTTTCTCCTAAAGTCCACTATCATCTCCACAGTTTTGAGCGTGTTCAGCTCCAGGTTGTTGTGACTGCACCAGACAGCCAGCTGCTCAACTTCTTGTCTGTAAGCAGACTCGTCACCATCCTGGATGAGGCCAATGACTGTAGTGTCGTCCGCAAACTTCAGGAGCTTGACAGCGGGGTCTTTAGAGGTGCAGTCATTTGTGTAGAGGGAGAAGAGCAGTGGGGAGAGCACACACCCCTGAGGAGCTCCAGTGCTGATGGTGCGGGTGTTGGATGTGAGTTATCCCATCTTCACTAGCTGCTGCCTGTCTGTCAGGAAGCTGGTGATCCACTGATAGATGGAGGTGGGTACAGAGAGCAGGGTCAGTTTATTCAGAAGTGTATCCGGGATGACAGTGTTGAAAGCAGAGCTGAAGTCCACAAACAGGATCCTTGCATAAGTCCCTGGTTTGTCCAGAAGTTGGAGGATGTAGTGCAGACCCATGTTAACTGCATCATCCACAGACCTGTTTGCTCGGTAAGCAAACTGCAGGGGGTCTAGCAAGGGTCCAGTAATATCCTTCGAGTAGGCCAACACCAGTCTCTCAAATTATTTCATGACCACAGACGTTAAAGCAACAGGTCTGTAGTCATTTAGCCCTGTTATTTTTGGTTTCTTGGGTACAGGGATGATGGTGGAGCGTTTGTAGCAGGAGGGGA